ATATTATAAATTGAGGTTAAACTTCAATATGAATTGCTGCAAAATTCCTTTTCATGCGCAACAAATGCGGTGGAAACGATTCTGAAAAATTTGAATCACGTGACATTTTGCTGCTGCTGCGTGCTGCATATGAAAAGGCACCTTCATGCTTCTCTCTGGTATGTATATATGTATATACACGATACACATCGTTCATACAAAAAAAATCGTTGAATGAAAATCGATCATAATGCTTTGCTCTCTAACGTTAAGTTCTAAATTGAGATTGGTTGATTAGTAATTAATCTGCGTTTAGAACAGTTTAGAACGTCAATACATTAAATTACATAACTGTGCACAAAACATCATCAGTTTAATCAATTATGTGCAATAGCTATATGTGCCATCCGATTTTTATGACCAGTCAGAATTTTGGCGCTGTCATTGTTTAGATTCTATACTTGTGATAAAATTTATGTGCTTTATATATTATTTTAACAAATAACCTAAAATTATCTTATATATACCATTAAACATACATGACGTACGTACTTCAATAATTAATATTATTGAGAAACATATAATTATGCGAAATATAAAGAGATTATATCAAAGAATGTTAAGAAAACATCCTATGGGTACACAAGCAGTACAAGCCGGTAATTAATAGTTCATTATAATTTATCATGCATGCACACCTACGCGCGCATAGTATACACATATATAATATTTATATTATTTATACAATATTTTTAATAACTGTCAAGGTCATTTACCTTATATTTTGATAAAATTACATTTATTTGACGTCTCTTTGTTAAAAACATATATTTAAAAAACAAAAATTAATCGCCATTTGTTACTCTAATTATAAAACTAGTAATTAAGCATTAAAGATGATGTATTTAAAGGTTAGAAAATCTGTTATACCTGAAATGAAATAATATGCGCATGTGCTAAGCCTGTGCTACAATCAGCTATGATGGAAATAACGCGCGAAATATAAAATCTAATCTAATATATAGATAATTTTTTCGTTTTTACTACAAATTCCTTCGTCCCACCACTTCATTATTCATATCTATTTCAATCCAAAGAATTTTCAATTCCGTTCAATTAATTCGAAGATATTCATATAACTGTCGGTATAATTAAATTCCAACCTTCCAACATAGAAAAGAAAAGAAAGCTATATATATTGTCATCTTATAAAAAATAATAAATAAATAAAATTTGAGCAATAAGACTACAATGTATTATAAAAAAATATTTTTTTTATAATAAAAATAAATATTTATGTCGAAAAATTTGAACAAAAAATTACTTGAATGTAATTTAGATATTAATAATTCTGATGAATAATTAAATTATTAATAAATTATTAAATTTTTTAAATTATTATTAAATTATTAATAATTAAATAATTCTGATGTTAGTTGTTTAGTAGTTGGTAATACTGAGAGAGCCAAAACTGATAAATAAAAGTGCAGAAAAGATATAAATGTCACAGAAAAAATATAAAGGTCGATTTATTACCAATAAACAATTAAAGAAAAAATATATATGTATACTTTTGATAAAAACAATATTAAAAAAAAGAAAGTGTCGAAAAAAATAGTACTCTAATTTATTTTCCGCAAAAGGACATCAATTAATTGACCTTGAGATTGTATGTCATGTGCCATATGAATTGACGTTGCCACAATTTCACCAGTATAACGCCATTATCTAAATAGATGTGAATAATTCATAAACATTTTACACTTGTACACGAAAATAATACGGTCAAAATTCATCTTTTTAATTCCAAAATGTTATTTAAACTTTATTCTTTCATATGGATATAACTTTTTAATTTTTTTATATTTTGTTTACAAAAAAATTATTTAAAACTCTTTCTCATAAAAATTTAAGCTATTTTAGAGAATTATTAAAGAAAACTTACGGTTAAAAAATTTGAAAAAATTCAGAAGTGTCTAAATGTTAATTGTAAATTTATTCTCAAAATTTGAACAAGTTTTTATTATGTGAAAAAAACTCATGGAGAACCTCCTTAAAGGATTTCACAGACCCTGTAGTGGTGGGGAAGATTACTAAAAGTTACTCATGGTGATCTAGGGTTAATCGCATTAATCTTGGAGTTACGATTATATCTATGGTTACGATGCAGAAAAACAAATGCAATAAACAATAAATTGGCAATTGGAGCCAAGAGTTTTTAAATGGTAGCTTTCATACATTTTCGATAATTCTCATTGTCAATTGTAATTATGGCTGAATCGCTTATTTCTTAAATTTTATTATTTATGTTTTTCTGTTTATTCTCAAAGTAATGAACGGCGATTTTTATTTTCAAATCTTTGTTTTTAAATAAAAGACACCGAATATATAAATGTATACTTTCATCAATAAAGTGAGGGACCTAAACTTATAACAGTTATTATATTATACATATTTACATTTAAATATTTACATTATATATAAATATTTCATGTAAATTACAATAATATAATTATTTGTATAATATAAATCATTATTTTTATTATTAATATAATTGAATATATAGGAATATTAATGGGACTCGGTGATCAAATTGCACAAAATTTCATAGATAATTCGAAAACTATTGATTTTGTACGTACAATGCAATTTACAGGAATCGGCTTGTTCATTAGTGTAAGTAATTACAAATTTATAAATGTTATATTATAGTATTTAATATTTATGTTTTTTTTAAATATTTCTGATATATTTGTTCAGTCTTTAATTTAGTATTATTCTGACAAAATATTTATAATTTAATTAATATCTAAGAGTTCAAGCATTTTAAGCGATTTGGGAAGCAAGCGGGGAACTGGGTTAATTCATCTTTTGTCAATTTTACTTGCTAAAATCCAAAAATCGTAGTTAAAATTGTCATAGTATCCGAGAAATATTTTTTTTACATTTTAATTTTTTCATATTAAACAGAAAAAAAGCAACGATGATTTTATTACTTTGTTGAACCATGTCTGCAAATCTCTCTTTGTTTTTATGAAAATATGTTTTGATGTTATTTAAGCCTTTATCTTTTCTCATCAAGGCTTGAGAATCTGCAAGTTATCTTAAATTATGTATACATTTTAACTTTGCATCGAAAAGTATAAAAGATGCGGAAAAATATTTCAAATAAAAGTTGTACGGTCTGAAGAGAGACAAATAATGGTAAAAATAATTTTTGAAAAAAAAAATTAATTTTCAAGGTCATATAAAGGGTAGTATTCTTTATATCGAATTATATAATTTTTTTCATAGTATGATTCTTTTAATTATTTTACATATAAAAGTATTGGTAAAGTTAGGTATCGAAAATTTACCCAGATAATAAAATGCGCGCATTATGAATCTCATAATGCGCTCACGCGAGCAGAATTATCCACATGGTGTGAGTGTCATACGGCTTACAGATGTGTCCTCAATTGAGTGCCATATATATTGCTCGCACGCATGCAGACTCACGCGTGAGAGTGAAATGCGACTCAGGCGTGCGAGCGATATTATGAATCTCAACTGAACCCTGTTAAAAAAAATTAGGTGGGAATTCATATAGGAAACCCATATGGATAATCCATATGGGATTCCATATCATTTCCTATGGGAATTTCGGCCAAAAATCTAGGTCCTATGTGAAAATCCATGTGGATTCCTATGTAATAATCCATATGGATTCCTATACTGAGAAAAATTATTAGAAAAAAATTATTTTATTTTATTTCATTATTACATATTATTTTTAGAGTTTAATATTCTGCATATTTTCTATTTTATTAATTACAATTTATACGCAGATTTATAATTTTTGAAAACATCAAGATTCGAACCTGAGATCTCTAAAACTGCAGACTTGTACGCTAACGCTGAGCTAATGATATTTTGTACAAAGACTTATTATTATTCTTTCCATTATTCTTTCCATTATATATTCTATACCTCTGAGTTCTCGTGTCTAAACAAATATGTACTAAAAGCCAACAGTAACAGTTACACACAACAGTTACAACAGTCGCACATGATTGAAACTTTTCAATAATCATGTATTTTTTCAGACAGTATCTCTTACAATCTTAGTTTTTAAATATTACTGTATTTTTTTGTATAAATTTATATGTAGAATACAATTTTGGATTTTATATATAGATATACAGAATATACAGAATCTAAAAAAATTATATAAATTCGAAGTAGAATACTATTTGAAATCTCAGTTATAATTAGACAAATATATATTCAAGGTCGATTTAAGTCTGGATCACTCGGTATATAATATACTGCATGAATATTATATAAATTATATAGTATTCATAATATAATATTATACCACATAAATATATCTATTATATGGAGTTTTATACATCACATGGATTCCCAGATGAATTTTCATACACCATCTGGATTTCTAGATGGATTTTCATACATCATGTGGATTCCCAGATGGATTTTCATACACCATGTGGATTTTTGTTTATTTATTAAGCTAATAAAATATGAATTTTATGTTAAATGTATTTAAATACTTATGTCATAAAAAGCATATTTTTATCATTGAAAAATATATTTCCAATATTAAAACGTACAATAAATATTTTTCAAAAGTTTCAAAAACATTTTAAAAATAAATTCCACATGATACAGAAATGTATAATCAATTAAATATAACAAAATGTACTGATTACTACTATTAAATAACATTTTGCAATAAAAGCGCTTATTATAATATTATCATTCTTGTTGTTACATCTTGGTGTAATTACATTATTATTATTCAATATAAGAAAAGTTTAGATTATAAGTTTTAATTATAATTTTTCAATTGTAAAAATGATTTGTTTTATTTGTCATTTTGTTATTATAAATACATTGATTTGGATTTAATAACTTAGTTTACGTTATTTTTTTTATGTATACGATGTTAATAACACATTTTGTTTATAGAAAATCGTCAAATCACAAAACGCGAGAAGAATATTAAAAAATTATTATACAATACATATGTTAAATACACAAAAAATATTTACAAATAGTTTACTTTAATGTTATTACTTTGAAATGATTGAAAGTTAATATTAAAAAAATCGTTTTTTTCTATTGTTAAAATAGAAAATAAACATTTTAGAAACATATAAAAAACATTTCAAAAATATTTTATATTATTTAAGAAATAAAGAATAAATATTAAACAGAAAATATTTTAAAACTGTTTAATACAATTTTTTTACATTTATATAGAAATAAAAAGTAAATGTTCTAAACATTTTATAAACATTCGATTATGGATATAAATTCCAATAAAAAAACATTAAAAATGTTTTTAAAAAATTATATTTCAGTTTAGTTTATGTTTTAATTTTACTCAATTTTTTCTACAAGACTAATAATTGTTTAAAAGTCTATAAAAATTGAGACATTACTTTTTTATGCGTTAAGAAAAATCATCATTCTCCCTTTATAAAGGGGAAGGAAATTTCTAAAATAATTTAAATAAGACCGTCGTATTATATATATATATATATATATATATACATATAAAATTTAAAGTTTAAAAAATGCCAAAAATTTAAATTAAAATTAAAAAATTTGTCCATATAGTTTTTAGAAATAACATATAATTTTTTAAAAACTATTTATCATGGAATGCGAGAACGAAAAACATCCAATTTTGCTAAAATTTAAAAAATATAAAAAAATCCAAAATTATCAACATTTTCAAAATGTTTACATTATTTATATTATTGATATTTAACACATCAAACAAATAGATATAAAAGTTTTTAATTTTTATACTTTAAATTATTTTACACTTACAAACTATCAACAATTTTTTAATTTGAATAATTTATTTTTGAATTATATATGTATATACATAAATTTCATTTTAATCATTATCATTAAAATAAAATGTTTTTACATTTGATAATGAAATATTAAAAGTTCGATATTTTTGACGTATACGACGATATTTTTCACACTTTTAAATATTTTAACCATGCATTTTTGTAATTTTAGCTATTCCAATTATTGAGATTTAAATCGTTCACACTTGTCTTCTTCATACATGATTGTATAGTGGCTTTTACGCTCGTCATGTCGTGAAGATAACATGAATGCGTTTTTACACATACGCGTGATGATCACACAGTGATCAATCCATACAATTATAACAATATATATTATTAAATACGCGTATATTATTATTATTATTATTATTATTATTATTATTATTATTATTATTACAATGAATATATAATTTTCTATAATTGTATTTACGATATTAAATATGCAACCTTTTTTTCATAACTTATATATACGCTCACACATGACTGTATAATGCTACCTTTTATGCACGCACGTGTGCTTCTATCACTTACAATTAGTGAAGACATTGTGAATGCATTATTGCACGCGTGATAATCATGCCGTGAAGGTAATATGAGTCACTAATTGTTATCTGGGTACTAGTTTACATTAGAAATATTTTATACTTTATTATGCCATATTTCGACATAAAATATGAAATATCTCATAAACTATTGATTTTTTGATAATTAATTAGTACCTTAAGTAAATATTAATTAATACTTTTATGTTTTAAAATTATGAGATGATTCGATTGGAGTAAAGAAAACACTCACAATCAGTTGCTTTCAAAAAAATATGCAATTTATGCAATTTAGAACTACGTATTTTTTTTAAAGCAACTGAGCATTTTCTTTACATCAATCAATTTATCTCATTAATTTGTGCATAAAAGTATTTACGATACAATTATCAAGAAATTATCAAGAAATCAATAATTTGAGATATTTCATATTTTATGTTGACATAATAAAGTATAAAATATCTCGTGAACTATTGAATTTTCCATACCTTTACCTTAATACTTTTATATGCAGAATTATTTAAAGCAATCAAACTATATAAAAAAATGGCGATACCCTTTTATACATATGTGACATTAAAAAATTTTTTTCGAAAAATATTTTTATCATTATTTGTCCCTTTTCAAACCATGTGGCTAATTTTATCTGAAACATTTTTCCGCATCTTTTATTACATACTTTTCGAGATATTTCGGTATAAAAGTTAAAATGTGTACATACAATAACTTAAGGTAATTTGCAGAGTCTCAAGCCTCGATGAGAAAGAATAAAGACTTAACATCGATCTAAACATATTTTTATAAAAACAAAGAAAAATTCGCAGACATAGTTCAACAAAGTGATAAAATCAACGTTGCTATTTTTCTGTTTAATATAAAACAATTAAAATTTGAAAAAAATTTCCCGGATATTAGGACAATTTTAACTACGATTTTCGGATTTCAGAAAGTGAAATTGAGTAAGAAAAAAGGTGAACCCAACGTTCCCCGCGTACTTCCCAAATCGCATAAAATGCATGAATTTCTTTATATAAATTAAGGTATTGTAGTAATATGGAAGTTCAAATATATATTAATGACTACGATATATAGGGTCCAGCAACAACAACATGGTATAGGATTTTAGATAAATACATAGGTTCTAAAGGTCATTCAGTTGCAATTAAAAAGGTTGCTTGTGACCAATTGTTCTTTGCACCTACATTCTTAGCAGTTTTACTTGTCACTATTGGCATTTGCCAAGGAAAAGATATTGAAAGACTAAAAATAAAGATGACAAATGAATATAGTGACATTTTAAGGAATAATTACAAGGTAACAAACAATAGAAATCATATCATAGAAATTTTCTTTTATTCTTTTAATAAACAAATATTATAATTTTGTTTTAGGTGTGGCCTATGGTACAACTTGTAAACTTTTCTCTGGTACCTTTACATTATCAAACTTTAGTTGTACAGTCAGTTGCATTACTGTGGAATACCTATGTTTCATACAGAACAAGTTTGGATAAACATAATTAATTAATAAAAAACTATAATTTTTTTTATCTCTTATAAGAGATAAATTATATAAAGAAACAGGTATTATGATCATTCCGACATCTACAAGAGGTTATTATTCCATTTCGTAATATTAGTAGCATATACTTATTATAATATACTCCTGCTTCCTTAAGATTCCTGTTGAATTAATTATTCCTCAAAAGTGAGAAACCGTGATTTTTTTCTTATATTGTATGTTCTCATACTATACTGTAAAATAAATTAATATTTTTTCTAATTATCGCTTATATTTAATAATTAGTAAAATATACCGAAAAGTTTTCATTATCCTCTCTGCATTTCTTTTTTTTATCAGTAAATTCATACAATTCAGTCCTTGCTTCATATATTTCCAATTATTTCCAAAACGGTATTTATACCAATCGATCAAAACTTACAGCAATTATTAAACAAAGTGAAAACAGAATTTATCATTATATATATATTACCAGGGTTAGCTACAAGGTTAATTTTTTAACTTTTTTTTTTAAACTAAGTTAAGTTAAATTAGTATAATGGGTTAAATATTTTAAGAGGCTTAAAAATTTAACTTAGTTAAGATGTAAGTTAATCCATAATAAAATTAATTAATTAAATTAAAAGTTAAGTTAATAAAAAAATAATTAAAAAGTTAAGTTAATAAAAAAATAATTAAAAAGTTAAAAGTTAAATTTTTTCCATTTCATAATTTCAGGGTTTCTAAATAATTAATTTTCAAATAAAGTGTATATTTTATTATATTTATTTCCGTCGGGTCGCGGAAAGAAGTCCGCTTTCGAGAGCTCGACTTCTTCTAACAATTCAATGGATAGAAGGCCCGCGAACAAATGATTTCTTCCCGCGGCCAGACTATATTATATTTATTATATTAATAATGTGCATTCTTAAATTTGAGTTTGAAGACACCGACGTAGATATATATTTTTTCTTGGATTTACATAAGTATTAAAAATGCAACTTCAAGAAGATTAAATTAAAAGTTAATAGTTATCAATAAGATATAACTAAAAGTTACAATAAGTTAAAAATTAAGAGCCTAATATGTATAATTAAGTTAAAATTATTTAACTTTTTAACTTAAATAAATTCGAGAGCGCCTTCTACAATCTCGGTGCTAGATCTTGGCCTAATTATATATACAGGATGTTCCATTTTAATCGATCACCTCAAATATCTCTTGAACAGTGCATTTTAGGGAAAAATGTTTCAGACAAAAGTTTTTGGATTTCGGGGAGACATAAGATGATAACATTGGTTTGACCCTGAGTGGCGTCGCAAGGTCAGGACAAGGTCACTTTGGATTTTTTAAATGGAACCCCCCATTTTTCATTACATATTCTTGTAGCACACTTCAAGAGCTTTCCAAAACGCTATAATAAAGTTATTTTTAAATAAATACTTTTCAAGTTATGAAGCTTGAAAGTTACATTACCGTCGTGTCAGATACGATCTTGCCTTAGGTAGCTAGATTATCAATGGTCTGGTTTTAAATTAATGGATCACCGATCAACGACTTTACCTCTAGTTTAGCTATTATTTTGACATAAAAAAACATCCATCGTGACCCTCATATGACTTTTTGGGATTAATCGAGCCGCACATGTTACCTCATTCTTTTAAATTATTATTTTCATTTTTATAGTAAAAATTGAAATAATGAAAATACGAGGAACAACCTCCAATCGTCTTGACCTTGACAAATGTTGTCAAGGTGATGGCCCTGAACAACATTCAAAAAGTTTTAGCCGTCGGTCGAACACCTTGAGTATCAATGCTAATGCCAACAATATTGTAACTTTGAAGCCTTTTAACTTAAAAGATATTTAATGAAATAGTGTTTTGGAAAGCTCTCGAAGTATGCTATGCTCGAGGTATGCTCGAGGTGTCCGTCTATTGGACACCTTGGATAATGCTAATGTCGACGGTACTGTAATTTTCAAACTTCATAACATGGAAAATATTTATTTAAAAAATAACTTTATTTAGCGTTTTGGAAAGCTCTCGAGGTGTGCTACAAGAATATTAAAAAATGGGAGGTTTCATTTAAAAAATTCAAAGTGACCTTGTCCTGACCTTGACGACGCCACTCAGGGTCAAACCAATGTTATCATCTTATGTCCCCCTTGAAGTCCCAAAACTTTTGTCTGAAACTTTTCCCTAAAATGCGCTGTTCAAGAGATATTTGAGATGATCAATTAAAATGGGACACCCTGTATAAATATATATAAATTTTACAATTCCATTATTCAGCCATTTAAAATGCGCGCCGTATTAATTTCGGATTTGCAACGTAAATAAGGGTATGTACTATGTACCTTTATGTTGACGCTCGACGATTATTTTCAGCGTCAAAACAGATCACATGATCAAAATTGATGCTTGGTATTCGTCAATTTTGTTCATGTGATCTGTTTTGATTCAGCGCGCAGTTTAAATGGCTGAATATATAATGGATTAATTGTAAAATTCATATAGAATTTATTAGGCACCAAGACTTAACTGAAACCGTAGAAGGCGCTTTCGAATTTATTTGAGTTATTCACATACGCGGTCTAGTTCAAATTATTATTATTAATGTTTTTAACTTCACTTTTATCTTTTTAAATTATAGACACTACTTTAAATTGTACACCCAACCCTATGTATTACTAATTTATGTTATCAAATCTGTTTGCACGTAAAAAATTAATGAAATAATGTCAAAGAATTATATGATTGTATATGTTTGACGCCGTAATTCATTATGATTACATTATGGAAATTACAATTGGCAATTTCAACGACATCTATATATACATTATACAAAATCATTTTCTTTGCATTCATATCAATAAAAAAAGATGAGACAAAAAAGTTATATAAATAAAAAAACATAGAAAGGATAACAACGAGATGTAATTCTCTCTTCTGCAGATTATTGTTTTATTCAGATAATAACAATTTCACTTAAAATAAATTCATTTTATGAAAACTATTGTGAGCGCATATATATATGTATACATATTACGTGCATTTTTTCTCATTTTATGATTTAATTCGTATCTGTTTTGCTTTAATTTTAATTAATTCTATATGGTCTATATGGTCAGTATGGTCTATATTCCAAAGGCTAACACTTTATATATGCATAATTTTTGTACAATTTGTTTAAATATTATTGATACATATATATAACCTCTTCATATCGCACGCACACACATACACACGCACGCACGCACGCACGCACGCACGCGCGCACGCGCGCATACATTATACATATATATATACACACACCCTTATAGCATTTTATGCAATTGCAAATGTTGGAAACAAATTATGTTTACTGAAAGGCTACAAATAGGAAATATACTTTGTTATCGCCAATTCTGTTGGCACACTTTCGTCAATGTGCAACAATCTTGTCGACAAAATAAATATGTAACAGTGGCAGCAAGCAGAACCCGGATATATTAATGGCAACAGTGAATCTACAATGTACTCTTTGCATCTTGTTTCTTGCTTTTTATCATCTGCCTTTTTGCCTCTTATATCTTGATTCTTTATTTTTACCTGGATAAATGTTGACGAACTTTGGAAGAGACAGGAAACACATGACAAGAAACACATTTGTCGATAAATCGGTCGGGAAGAAGGAAAAAGGCAAAAGGTAAAAAGCAAAAAGCAGGAAGCAAAGAGCACACTGTAGATCCCTTACTTTACATTGCGAACGATGTCAGCAAACATCCTGCAAAAATGCAACAATGTTTTGCAGTAAATAAATCTGTTCTAAATCTGTTGTGTCAACTAATTGTCGCATTGCTATTGTTAGATCTGTTCTGATGTTCATCAATTTTACTGTAGAATATGTTCTTCAGATTTGATTCACATTGGAGACCAATTGAGGACAGTAGACCTTAACTTTGGCATTGTTCGCTGGCATTTGTTTCCCATTTACTATCCCACACCAAAATGTTTGCTGGGTGTATATATATATATATGTATATATATATATTAGAGTGGAGCGATTTCTTACCCCGTTTGCATGTATTTTCGAAAAAGGCATAAAAAATGGTGAATTTTTATTACAAACGAAAATTTTTTAATGAATATCTGCTTCTTCTAAAAAATAAAAAACATCGTTTTTTTCATTTTTATTTTATTTCAATTAATCATCGATTTATTATGGTATATAACAATTGTTTCATAAAAATAATTTATTATTGGAAATCTTTTTTTGTTTCAGTTCTCTTTTACATAAGTCGAGATTCGATCATAGTAAATGCCATTTCTTCGCGTTTGGTTGGAGGACACACGATGTGCTGTCTCGGTGACAATTTTAATGTGACGCTCCGTTGCTTGTATATGACAAGGTATTTCCAAATTTTTAATTGCAGCATCTGCGAACATGTATCCTCGGATTTCATCGTCTGACATTGATTGCGAAAAAGCAAGTTACATCGTAAATTTACGTTTTCATCGTATGGTCACCGTATAAACTTCGATTGCACGACAATATAGACATAATCGACTGGGAAAACGTAAATTTGACCGAAACATATTCGCAGATGCTGCAATTAAAAATTTGGAAATACCTTGTCATATACAAGTAACGGAGCGTCACATTAAAATTGTCACCGAGACAGCACATTGTGTGTCCCCCAAGCAAACGCGAAGGGATGGCATTTACTATGATCGAATCTCGACTTATGTAAAAGGCCGAGAACTGAAATAAAAAAAGATTTCCAATAATAAATTATTTTTATGAAACAATTATTATGTACCATAATAAACCGATGATTAATTGAA